CGACGCACTTTGCACGCAACTCGGACGTCGGCTCGTCCGCTGCCTACCTTCTCTCTATCTTCCCCGAGGGGGAAACCACTCGTTGGGAAGATAACCAAACCCGAGCTTCCATCATCTGCTATAACCTGGTGAAGGTAACGCTGCAACTTTTGATACTTGCGCTTGTTATTATTTTTATTTATTTATTATCATTTTTTGTATTGTATTAACCCCATGTGCTTTGACAGACTTTGGCCGGGCTTGCCCCTATTCTGCATGAGCAGATAGAGGGCACTTCCGAGGTGGACCACCTGCAGGACGACCTCAACAGTGCTCAGGCCGAGTTGGCCAGCATGAAGAAGGCGTACGAACGCCAGAAGAAGAGCCAGACCAACAGATTGCCTTGTTTAAATCTAAGAAGACGGAGGCGGCCGACCTCAAAGAGAAGTTGACCGCAAAGGAGGCCGAGTTGGGGTCCCTAAAATTGGTTGTGGATCAGCATGTCATCAGGGCCCGCAAAGACGGTGAGGTCTCTTTCTTCTCTTCGGTTAATGGGGCCTGCTTTCTGGAGCATTATCGGGTCGAGCTGTTGAAATATTACGACCACACCACTTACTATCTCAGCAAGCTCGTCCCGGCCTGCCTCCAGTACTTCAAGGAGGAGGTTCAACGCACCTTTGCCTAGGTTTAAGCCTAGGGATTCACGGGCTCTGTTGATGAGGCCGCCATGATCCCCGGCCTCCCCGACCCACTCGGCTGGAATGGGGACAAGACGCCGCCCACCGACTTCCCATGGTGGGAATCAGTGCTTGATGTGGCGAAGGCAATGGCCGGGCTTGGCGGGGACGAGGAGGGGTCATCGTCTTTTCAGGCTTAATTTTAGCGGTCGTTTATCATGAAAACTTCTTGTATGCTCGGCCCTAGGCCTTATTATCAATGAAATTTATATATCTACTCTCCGATCATCGTTCCATATGTTAAATGTTTAAATGTCATACACCAAACCATCGCCGAGCTCAGTCCCAGCGTTTAATCCTGACATTGCGCGCGAACCCATTCATAACATGCGAACTCTTAACATGTTAACAACCATTTGACGAGCTCTAAGATTATTATTCGGTTGTTGTCCTTAATGGATAACGCCGAGCTCCAAAAGCTTGCGATTATAACAGGCCATCGCCCTTAATAAATAACGTCGAGCTCTAAAAGCTTGCAATTATAAAAGGCCATCGCCCTTAATAAATAACGCCGAGCTCTAAAAGCTTGCGTTTATAACAGGTCATCGCCCTTAATAAATAACGTCGAGCTCTGAAAGCTTGCATTTATAACAGGTCGTCGCCCTTAATAAATAACACCGAGCTCTGAAAGCTTGCGTTTATAACAGGCCATCGCCCTTAATAAATAACGCCGAGCTCTAAAAACGCGATTAAAACAGGCTTTCGGTCTTAACAACCATTGCCGAACTGTACAAACTCGCGATTAAAACAGGCTAACGTCCTTAACAAACATCGCCGAGCTCTAAAAACTCGCGATTAAAGCAAGATTTCGCCCTTAACAAACATCGCCGAGCTCTAACAACTCGTGATTAAAACAGCCTTTCGCACTTAACAAACATCGCCGAGCTCTAAAACTCGTGATTAAAACAGGCTTTCTGTAACGCCCCGCTTTTAATACGCTTTTAATTAGAGTAAATTTTTCGCTCTCTGAAAAATACACTTTAAACAATACTTAATCTATCTCGGGATGTCCCCTTTACTTCTTCTGAAAATCATTGACTTTTAAAATGGCTGAATATACTTAGTCAAGATTTAAAGAAACTTTATTGTCGAGTATTTATTCGAACATTCAATTCAATCACACATCGAGATAGACTGATAAAAAGGAGACTAATTTGGCATTATTCGACAATATATAATTTTAAAATAGTGGAAACGTAAGTACGGTTCATCAAGTATCATAATTTATTACAAGACGTAAAAATGTCCATTATTAGTTGTCTGAACTTGACCACCACCACATTTGCTCAGCCTGTGCGCTCGACTCCATCACCTGGAATATCATAAATAATGGGACGTGAGTACATAACCATGGTACTCCGTAGAAACCCAACATAACAGCAGTAAAGATAATATCATACATTTAAAATTCTGACATATATGCAAATAACTAAAAAAAAACTGGCATATATAATTGTAACTGAATTCTTACTGCTCTCGGACACATTGGCCGATATCGTGTGCACTGATGGAATATAACTATACTGTAATCCCATCGGAACCTGAGTTAAGGACAAATTGGCCTCGTCATAGGCGATAAATTATACGGACCCGGCCGTTACCCACTCATCGGGGGGACATTTCTTATGTACATACCTCGGATGTGATAACTGAGAATATAACATACGTAAATCACAGTACAGGGTTCCCACTTTTCTGCTGTGTATTAAGAAAAGCTGCTCTTCTGATGCTTGACTCTTTAAGCTACATATACTTTAAATAACACACAGCTTATGCTCAAAAGACTGAACAAATACTGAGATGTTGTTATATGTTAGTCTGGCTAAGTCTCGACTACAATTATATTTTAAATACGGAACTTTTAAAGAAATACACTTGAATTTTTAAAATATTCTAAGTCCATGAATAAAATAATTGGTTTAAACTGGACTGACTCGGTTCTGAAAAATACTGAAAATTCTGGTACAAACTCGGACTGAAAATCTCGAACTTGATATTTCAAACCGACCACTTAAACTCTCCGGTTTGCTGACCTGGACCGGCGGCTCACCATGAGCTGGGCGATCACGGGTGACACGAGTGCCTCGGCTCGGTCACCAATGATTCGCGTGCCTCGGTTCGGTCGTGCAAGGTACGGATTGTTACTATCGCATAACCAAGTCACGAACCTTAGCCACACGGGCACTCGGGTTTGTACTAGCACTACTTGTAACGCCCCATTTTGAATTAACGAAAATCCGTGGCTTTTCAGAAAAATCAATTTAATTTTCAAAACTCATTTCAAAACATTTATGGCGTTACTCATTTAAAATCAACATCAATAGTTATATCAATAATATGAATCATAAAATTAACTCCCAAATCGGGTTTCATCACAAGTTATTATTCACCCAAACCGGGTTTCATAAAATCATCACAGAGTCTAAAGGCATCTCCCCAACATTATTTTTAATCATCATAAAATCTCAAGGTTCATAAAATCCCAAGTTCATGAAATCATAATCATAAAATAGTTCAAATAGCGGAAGCATAACAATCAATGATCTGGTCATACAGACCGACCACCACTCGCTCCACTCCATCGTGCCCGCAACCTTCTTAATCTGCGTCTGTGAAGAAAAAGTGGGGGTGAGCACATATGGAATTCGTGGTGCTCACCACTATGCAATAAACAACAATAATAAGACAGGTATGGTCGCAGCATGTATACGAATCAATTATCTATCCCATCTCCTATACATCATAAAATCAAGTCTCATGTGCACACCTACGCATAGACTACTGCTGGTACACGTATCGAATGCCCCTTGGGCCTTACAACGATGCCCAAACAGTAGGAGTAAACCACCCCGCCGGCCAAGGCCTCGCCTTGGTCTTACTACGGGGATCACTGGCCAAAGGCCCATGCCCTGGTCTTACGGCCACAAAAAGGAGATTACCCAACGGGTCCATTCTATAGCTACAGGGGATAACCTTCGACGGTCGGTACAGCTCACATCGAAGGCTACATGGTTATAGCATACATTGATCATACCACACGTAAGGCAACAATTTATCGCATAGTAACTTCAAATAAAACCCACCTAGATATTCGGACAACCGGGAATGTAAGTGAGTCAAGGTAGGTTTGAGGGCTCGACTCCTCTAAAATCTACATTAAGAAAGATAATTTTTATCACTAAATTATCCCACTTTAAAGACAACACAATCTACATGCTTTTCTTTAAACTACCAAAACAATCACAGCCTTATGAACTGAGCATATATCTCAGAAAGGTTACATATTTTCAACATGGAAAAACTCCACAATAAAGGCTCATCAATGCAAAGAAATAAGAATGGCATAACACACATAAAGCAAGCTCCTCTTCTCTTCAAAATTTAACAAATTTTGATTGGCATGAAAAGAACATTAGGACTGAAATTTAACACCTCCAAAAATACATACAACATCACAACATACGTACATAATGGCAGACACAACAAAATGATAACAAACCAGACAATTTATATGAAAACAAGTTCTCTCTTGTTTTAAAAAGTAAAGCATGTCAATCACCCTTTTAGCCACTTAACTAAGTATTAANNNNCAAGCATAGGATTTACTCTTGAAAGTACAGCATAATGGCAACAAACATTAATCAATCCTGGCTCAGCTCACTCACAATCAACATGGCCAAAGTATGACCTAATTCGCCTTTAAAAACATCTACAAATCTAAGTATGCTTACTACATAAATTTTAATCATAAACTCAGCAATCAAAGCCACACAAAAGAATATTTTACCTTCTTCAACAACCAGAACTTAGGCAACAGATAATTCGACCATGAACAAAACTACAAGGTTCAGCCAATTTGAACAAAACAGGCCTCAACACATTCAAACAAAACTCACGATTCCAGCAAGCTTTTATTTTATTTTATTTTATTTTTTTTACACCACAAGGCACCAAGAAAACACACATACTTCCTCATGCTCAAAGATAGACCAGACAAGGCACATAACATACATGTTCCAAACAAACTCAACAATCCAACACTTCACATATTTCACAAAATCCAATAACTCACAATAAAGGATCTAAATAAGCAAAGTGAGAAGGTGTTTGAGATTCACCTTTCTTCGGATACTACACACACAAGAGGGGTCAGAACCGGAAATTTAGCGGCCCCGGCGGCACTTTGGGGGCTGCTCGGATGTCGGCGAGAAGCTGCAGCGACGGTTCACGATTTTCAGCATGTGTGCGGGCTGAGATACGGCTCGGCGTGGCTCGTGTGGGACCCTACTCCGGCGAGGGCTCGGCTGCTGCGATCGGCGATGCACGGCAGATTAGAACGGCTCGCCTCGGCTGTTCGCGGTGTGCCGAGGATGTTGCTATTGGTAATCGGTGATACGTTCGGGCCTCCCAGTCCAAGATGCGAACAGATGCTGTTCCATCAAAGCCAGCGACGGAATGCTTCTCGGTTCGAACAAACGGAAAAGTTGCTGTTGTTCGAATTACCCAGCAAGTTCGATGAGGGTTGTCGTTGTTCTTCTCGCACGGGGCCCGAACCGGCCACTGCTCGTTGAGAAAGGGAAATCGGCCGCAGCTGTGTCCGGCTGCTGCGAACGAAAATTGGCGAGAAGCTGCTGAAGTGGGTCGCCGGCGAGGGGTTTTCCTCTTGTCTTCTCGGTCGCACAGATGTCCAGCGGCTGGAGAACTCGGCGGAAAAAGAGACCGTTGCCGCTGTCGGAAAAGCTCGCGGACTGCACGGAGGTCGCCGGCTTTAGAGGGTCGCCGGCGCTGGTTGGACCTACTGCCACGGGATGCTCCTCGTCCGGCTGTTTGGGAGTTCGCCGGAATCTACTGCTCGGTTTCTCTTCCCGCAGTCACACACACGGCGATTGGGGCGCGCCGGCAGGGTGGGTTCAAGCGAATGAAAGGCTGGATTAAATGGCGATTGGAAGTCTGGTGTTTGTGCGATGGTGCTATGCGCGATTTTAGGAAGAAATTTGGACTATGTTTGCTAAAACTAGTTGATAAGTTAGCTTATAGCTTATATGTAATTTTTAAGCTATAAATGTTTGGTAAAACTAGTTGATAAGCTAGCTTATAGCTTATATGTAATTTTTAATTATAGCTTATAGTTTATGACTTATAACTGAAAACCTAGCTTATATGCTAAAAGTGTTTGACAAAATTAGCTGATAAGCTAGCTGAAATAAAAAACTCAACTAGCTTATTTGAAAAGTTACCTAAAATAGCTTATGAGATAAGCTCGAACTTTTTCAAAAAGTCTGTCTTACCAAACGAGGCTTATTTGAATACATGAAGCTTATAAACCAAATAAGTTATAAGCTACCATCGATTGGATGAAGGAGAGAAGAGAGGAGTTCGAGATCTGATTTCTGAGTTGGAGATAAAAGAAATCCTAAGGCCGCATGACTTGGTAGGATTTTTAGGACAAAAATAATGAGATATTTTTAATACCAATTAAAGGCATAAATGGCATCATTCAAGGGCCTTGACCGGTAAAAATTTGGAGAAAAATAGCTGATTGATTCCATGCTTTTTAAAAAATATGAATCCCAATCTTACATTTGAACAAGCAAATTGGAGCTAAAACTACATAGGGAAATGGGGACGGATTTTTCAATCCTAATTGGGCCGAATAGAAGTATTAACATTGGACCGGAACTGGAATTCAGTTTAGGCTGAGAGTGAATAATCGAAGTTCGCGTCAAAATGGCTCGAAAACGAATCGAAATGGATTATGTTCGGTTTACGCGATTAAAACGAAAATCGCCGAAACATTTTAAAAATCTGGAACAAATAAATCCTAATAATTCTAATATACATAAATAATATATAAACATATAATAATCACATATATTAGCTACATAATAATTTTATATCAAGTAGACAAATAAGACAAACAATTAAATAAAATAAGGCAAATATTCAATATTAGCAAATAAATAATAATATAAAAATTTAGAAATTCTAATAAATGAACGGGGCGTTACACTACTGGCATGAGCCTTTACGTTACCGAGTGCTGCTGCATACATCTGGGTGCTATCGGGTGTTGATATACACCCTGGCACGATGGTTGACGCGGGTGAGTGCTACCGGGCGCAGCCGAGCACCACCCGTGGTCACTGACACACAGGCACGGGTGAACGCTGCCGGTCATTACCCGTGCACTTCTGGCACAAGGGCTAACACGGTGGAGGCTTAACTCGGTTCACACACAGGGCGCGGACATGAGCAGGCACGGGTTCTAACCTCTGAACATGTTCTGCCGGGCGCTAGCACACACTTTATGCATAGCAGTGATCACGGTCAGCTCCTTGCTGGCCGTCCGGCTACTTTTTAAGTGACTATTGTCTAATTCCAATACTTTAAGACATAATTAGCCCAATTATGTATAAAAACCCTAGGATGTTCCGACTCGATTTTACAATGGTTTGGGAGACAAAACAAGCTACATAGGGCTCTAGGTCAACGAGTCAATTAACTCATTTTAGGAAATGACTTGAGTCCAAATACTTATTATACTTTATCATGTTTTTAGGTACAAAAATCTTAGCAATTACTAACATGAACAAAGACATGGCTTGGTTGATGAAAAAGGGCCTTAAACTCGAATTCTATTTGAACGAGTAAACGACCTCCAAATAAGCTGAACCTTTACCAACTTATTCCACATTTCAACAATGAATTAAGGAGTACTAAATTCGACTATGGTACGCATGAAAACATGACTTCCGAGTTGAGGGTTTAGTTAATTTAAAAATAAAAAACCAACATAATACTCGTGCATGTCTCAATTTTTATACTTAATATTCCTCAAAATATCATGTTTATGCTGGAAAATAGGTTGGAAAGGTGTTTACCTTCACCAGAGTTTGGAGATGAACAAAGAGATGAACTTTCGATCTATTCTCAGTATTGGCTCGACCAAGGAGGTGTTCAAGTGATTTCTCTTCGTGACAACTGATTTGAGGGTGCTTCGTAAGTTGTCCTATGCCTCTTGATTCAGTATGACTCGAGAGAACTTGAAAAGAATGACAAGTTACTCGCTAGGGACGTATTCCCGCATTCTCAGGCACGAGAAGAGCTCACCAGACTTTGGTTGGAATTTGCTGAGCTTTGCGGGAAATTTTATAAGTGTTGGGACCTCCTCTACCTATCTATATATATCTAAAAAGGTTGATGTAAAAATCATTTTTAGAAACTTAAAATAAATTGAGTTGACTTTTGACTTTCTATTTATGTAATCTCAATCAAATTTTGAAAAAAAAAATCGTGAATAGGATTTTGTAATTGGTATTCCCATTAATTAAGTATCAGATCCCATTAATTAAGCAAATCTGTTACGAAAATACACAAATTCCGTCAATTAAGGCATTATATATTTCCCTTTTTTTAGGGATGGATATACCTTTACGTGATAAGATATATACATGTGATTGCATATTTTGTTGTTGCATCCCAAAAATCATGGAATTTAATATCTATCCAAATACAATCCATAATTATCTTATCACTTTTGTTAATAAAAAATTGTATAAAAGGATATTCACTACCACCATTACAACTCATCATTCACGAGTTCAGAGAAAAAAAAAATACAGAGAATAATTTTTCATCGCATATGCAATATAATGCTTCCAGGCTGGGGTAAACTTGATATATAATGCTTCCAGACTTACGTTAACAAAAGAAACAAACATTTTTTGCGTCCGAGAGCAGTTTGCATTATTGAAACCCATCACGAACGGGGGAGCTATAACGCATTTTCATGATGAACAGGTAATATTTACCTTTGTTATTTTAATTTTATATAATTTAGAAAATTATTTTAATTAATATTTATAACAAACCTTTTTTGCGTCTGAGAGCGGTCCGCATTATTGAAACTGAGAGCGGTCCGCATTATTGAAACCCATCACGAATGGGAGAGAGCAGTCCGCATTATTGAAACCCATCACGATCATTTTCATGATGAACAGGTAATATTTACCTTTGTTATTTCAATTTTATATAATTTAGAAAATTATTTTTATTAATGTTTATAACAAACCTTTTTCGGTTCTGAGAGCAGTCCGCATTATTGAAACCCATCACGAGCAGTCCGCATTATTCAAACCCATCACGAACGGAAGAGCTGTAACGCATTTTCACGATGAACAGGTAATATTTACCTTTGTTATTTCAATGTTATATAATTTAGAAAATTATTTTAATTAATATTTATAACAAACCTTTTTTGCATCCGCATTATTGAAACCCATTGAAACCCATCACGAACGGAGCTGTAACACATTTTCACGATGAACAGGTAATATTTACCTTTGTTATTTCAATTTTATATAATTTAGAAAATTATTTTAATTAATATTTATAAATTTGTATCGTAGGGTGCTTTCATTAAATGCATAATACGTTATCCGAATATGAGAGCAACAAATTTTATATAAACTGAGAGCAGTCTAATTTTTGTAAAATATGTAAACTTTAAACGTGTTTTATATATAAAATTTTATATACTTTTAAACATGTTAGTTGGGCAAATTTTAAGGATATATATATGTGTGTGTGCTAACTTTAAGTATATATATTTTTCTTATAAAATAGTCTAGACAAAATTGAGGTAATTTCATATTTTTCAATAATAATATAAAATATTTTAATACTTTCACATATGTTATATAATAGTCTGCGTATTCTTAATGTCTTTTGGTTGTAACATTGTTAACACATATAATTTTAGATACTTTTAAACATATTTAGATATATTTTTTACTCATTCTTTAATATCTATGTGCATAAAAAGAGAATAAGATTTATAAAAAATTTTCCGGCAATATACTAAATGTTAGATAAAAATCTCATTTTATTTATTATATAATATTTCGAGTTGCATTAATTTTTATTTGTATGTGTAAAATTGATAAACTAAGTGAATGAAAAGGAGCGTACGAATTACTGTAAGGATTTAAAAAATAAAAAATAAATCTAATTTTTGAATATTTTCTAAACGAATTTATGTCATAATTCGTCATAATTTTCCCACATCATGTCAATATTTATTTTGTCTATACTAGGTAAAAGGTAAATCATTATCTCAATATTTATTCTATATATTCTAAGTAAATCTTCTCATCTATCTCAACGGTCCGCAGGTAGTATTTCATACTTTTCTATTCATAATCAAATATACCAAACCTTCACAAATTTTACTTCACAAAGAAAGTGTTCAATAATTTATATTTTTTTTTATTCTTTGTAATCCATTTATTTTTATTACATATATATAAATTATATTATTTTTAATATTTCACACGTTAAACATTTCAGGAAAATATACTATCACGTGCATCGCACGGGCTATGCGCTAGTTCCTCAGGGTAAAGTATATATAATTGAAGAAGGCCTCGCCACTTGACTTAAAATAAGGTAGTTTTGGATTTTTCTTCCTCACCCATCCATTTGTCTTGGTTGTAGTGCCATGGAGTGATATGGTACTGGCTTATCTATCTTACCTCTTATGATAGCTCGGTCAAGGTTCAATTTGACTAAAGAAATGGGCTGAAATCTCATTGGGCCTCGGTTATGTGCTGGGCCGTGCACTGGCAGGCCTTGCGCTGGGCTGCACGCGTGGGTGTGGGCTGCTCCATGGAACGCGCGTTGGAGCAGGGCGCAACTGGTGTTGGGCCGTTCGTTGGGGCCTATCAACCAACTTAAGACATTGGACCCATGCTTCATTATATGTTGGTCGAGTGAGGTGTTGGCGCATATGGACTGCTCCTAGTCGCTGGGCCGTGGGAAAGGTTAGCGCACTCGGGCTGCGCGCACAGCTGCTGGGCAGAGTGAAAACTCTCGGGCCATCCATGCCAACGTTTGTATTTCCAATATGTTTGGTTAATTGAGATTATCTTAGATGCTGGACTTGATGAAGTTTTGGCTAAGAGTTCTTAACCTTACTAGGGCCGAGAAAAAAATATTACTAGGGTGCTAGACCGCGCACAGTTGTTTTAGCACACCGGACCGTGCACTCTTGCCGGGTCGTGTGGGTGTTAGCCGTGACCGAACCGGCACGATAGTTGGCCCGATTGGAAATTCCAGAGTCAGGCTACTAGTATACTTAAAGCATGCATAAGTATATGGTTTGACTTGAGTTCGTCCTGTATCGACTTTGGTTTGAGGTTCAATCTTCTATAAATGTTCAAGTATACTTGAATTCGATCCTCCTCTGGACTAATTCTTCTTACTCTTGATTCATGATAATAATCATTTATAGAATGAATGAATCGAGACTTGATAGACTTGGTATCAAGTTAAATCTGAATATTACTCGTTATAACCTTAAACTCCATTATCTTCTTGACTTAACTAATTATACTTGTCTTATACAAGAATTTTACTGAGACTTTAACTAAAATATATTTGGCTATAATATAAAATCTCATCTGAACATTTCTAAGTTTAGGATTTGACGTTTGAATTACTCTGGGAAGTTATAAATCTAGTATTTATTAATAAAGACTAGCTTACACTAGGAAGCTAAAATCGAGCTTTTATTAACAAAAATTAGCTTACTCTCGGAAGCTAAAACTGTTTAGCTTATCAATAAGTTACTGGGGTATTACAATCCATCCTCGTTAATTTTTTTCCGTCGTCGGAAATACTTTACTAAACTTCGAATACGAATCTAATACATAAAATAATCCCAAAAATACTATCGTTGAATCCAGTCAACTGGTACATTACTATTTAAATAATGGCTTTATCGTGGCAGTCACCACCGTCCATAAATGTATTTAATTATACATTTTGACAGCCAAATGTCCAGAGATAGATTTACGAATCTCACCTTCTGACACGTATAATATTAAATTGAATCATGTCCCACACTCTTTCTACTATTGTATACCGATCGGCAACTTTGTATTTTCTCGGACGCCATGGTCCGAATTTAACAATGGACTTATCACTCTCTAATATTCGAGAATTATATTCCTTTCTCCCATTGAATATTATATGAAAGATATTCAATTCTGGCTTAGAACGATTGAGGGTGCTAATGATCTATGATCTTCCAACCGATATCCGATGGTTGATTGAAGCTAAAGTTCGGTTGTCTGGTGAGTTTCCGAATTCTTATAAGTATATGCCAGGCATGGGTAA